TTAAAATTTAATTAATTAAAAATTTAGGATGTTACAGCCCCCACTGTGTTTAACTTAGATTTGTCCCTGCATGTGGTTGTGTAGTGAAATGTTAGTCTTGTGTATCCTCTTCCTTTACTTTAGGTTCTACCTCTTCAAGAACAGGTTCTTGTTGTTGAGGTACATCGTTAATGACTTCAAGAAAAAATACTATGTTATTTCATCCTTTACTGTATAGTGTCAATTTGGTAGTAAGTGGTTCACTCCAGTTTGACTAACAATGAAATAAAATCTGCTACTATTGTCTTTAGTGATACAATGCATTATCCTTAATGATACACTGTATAGCCTAACTATTTAACAATTGAAGTTATCAATTTTCATTGACAATATTATCAAATCTAGTGTTTGAAATGCTTTGTACCAAATCCACGTGGATGCCACGTGGATGCCAATTTTTTTGAAAACTCCTAGAACCAGAACGGTCTGTTCTGATTTCAGAACGGGCCGTTCTGGTTCCAGGTATTTTAAAAAAAATCGGCATCCACGTGGCATCCACCTGTGCATCTACGTGGCATCCACGTGGCCAATAGTTAACTTCGTTTAAATAACTTGGACGGAAGTCCGACATTGCAACCAATTAATTTATTAAGGACCAAATTGAGATAAAAAATAAAAGTAGGACTAAATTCAAACAAATAATTATTATAAGGAACTAAAATATTATTTTAGCCAAATTTTTTTTATTAAGTCTAATAAACAATATACAGGTCCATAATTTTCCACGTGTCCGATTAGAAGCCAGGTGGACATAACACACCACGACGTTAATCATTACTAAATACTAATCTCCATTTTATTTTAAAAAAAAAATTATCGGTAAATAGGAGAGACAAAACGAGGCTAACCCAGAAGACAAGAAGGTGCATCAGTGACTTTGACAATGGCGACAGTGGCGGAATCACCCGAATCTGAGACACACCCTGCACCTGACGACTACTCCAAAACCAACAATCCTCAAACCTTTAATGAAACGACAGCGTTTATTGATTACGCCGTTGCGCAAGCCCAGCTTTACCACAAGGCCTTTAACGACGCCGTCGATTCATCACTCGATGCTGCAAAGACCCGTTTTTCCCAAATCCGTTCAACTTCTTCGGCTCATTTTCATCAAACCCTGGTAAAATCTCTCTCTCTCTCTCTCTCTCTCTCTTTGCTTCTCGAGAAAATTCTCAAAAAGCAAAATGAGTGGGAATGAGAAAAGCAATTAAAGGACCGTATATAAATTTGATTCGCTATGACCTAATTCGATGGCAACGCGCATTCCATTGGTTTTTTCGGTTATTTCTTCAAAATTTTTTGGTTAACTCGTCTGCATGATTTTGATTTCTGTTGAATGTAGGATGCTTTGGATGATCTCAAGTCTCAGTACGGTGCCTATGAGGGTCTTTTGTTTGGGAAGATCAAAGGTTTGCGTTTTGTGGTTTATTTACTGGAGATAGGTTCTTCTGTTTGCAATTTATGAAGTTTCTGATGTTTAGGTTTGTATGTTGATCTTTCATTGCAGAAGGTGTACTCGTCGCAGCTTCACATCCGGTGATTACATGTGGGGCTATTGCTGGCTCGGGGCTCCTGGTACTTAAAAGTGAGATTCTATGCTTTATTGTTAGTGTTGCATTTGCTATTTCATTCTTCTGGTGGCATGTAAAAGAGATTATATTTTTGTATTTTGTTACAGAATCTCATTAGGGTTGAATAGTCTTAGTTAGAACTTGTGCAGATCATTGATTTTCGAGTGAATCCTCAATTTGGTTCTTGGTTTGGGTGTCACACTTCGTTGCTCCTTTAATTGCTTTTGTCAACAAGTTGACCTGTTAAAAATTAAAGTGTTGCCATATTTGTTCCTTAAAGATACCAAATTGTCACCCAGTTCGCCCTTTTGTGGTAACACTTTAATCTTCCTTGTGGGTCAATTTGGTGATAATTTTGTGTCTCTGAGGGTGTAATTTGGTGAAAAAAATCCTTTGAGGAATAATATGGTGACACTTGTAATATTTGAGCAATTAATTTAGCTACAAATATCTTTGGAGGACTAATGTGGCAACTTCATAATCTTTGGGGAATTAAATTGAAGGTTTACCGTTGATTTTAAGGCCGTGGTCAACCATTAGAAGTTTGTATCTTTGTTAAATTCAGTAAATTGCTGATGGTATATATGTGTCATTTGTTACTGCAACTTATGTTATCAGAAGCTTCAATTCACCCTATTTTATATGTTCGATAAATAATTCAATTAGCAGATTATTATTTTTCTTCAAATTTGGTTATCTTGTAGGGCCTCGTCGGGTCGTGTACTACAACACTTTGCGTCTTTTTGTCAGTGAAGAGGTGAGAAATGATCTCATTATATCTATTGACTTTTAAAATGCTGGATTTTGAGTTAATTTAATCATGAAATGTATATATTTAGTTTGTATGCTTTGTTAGAATCATCATATCTTGAAAACTGCTGGTGAATACAAGTTTAAAATTTATTGTGTAAAATGTGCTGGGATTGTCATATGGAGGCAGGGACAAAAGTCACAATCCAAAAAAAATAACTAAAAAGGGAAAGAAGGAACATAATTTGTTTGTACTTTTCCTTTATAGTTTTTTACTTTTCATTAATTGCCAGACCATTTAGATTTTTTAACTTTTTATTTGGAAATTTGATTTGCAAATGTACAAACTCATACTATTTGTTAGACAAGAGGATAAGACAACAATAGGGGCTAAAAGAACCTTGCAGATCTATCAGAGGAAGAAACGCAAGTCAGGGCGTAAGGGGTTCTGAGCTATTCAGTTAGAATAGTTAGTTTTCTGTTATTAAGTTGGTTAGCTGTTGTTTTCCTTTATCATATAAATAGCCCTCTGATTGAAGAAGAGGCATATTGGATGTATTAGAGTTTTGACTAGTGAATCCATTGTGAAAGGAGAGTACTTCATTGGGTACACTTGTTACTGTTCTATCCCTATTCTTGAATAATACAGAGATCTTTTTCATTCCTTACTTGTTTTTTTTCTATAGTGACTGTTGTTGTTTTCTATTGCTGGGATATGTTTTCCCATTTCCAAAGAGAGGACCCTAACACTATTACTATAATATTAGTCTTGATTGAAGCAAACATAGATGTGAGTTGTAACTTGTAATACAGTTGAATGTTGTTGAAGTCACTATTCTCTTTGTACTTGGTTGTGAAAAATGCCTCTGCATTATGTCCACCATTAATCCAATGAGTATTTGCATTTAATATGTATCATCATAACTAAATTCACATCTATGTTTAGTTAGAGAGAACAAAAGAAAGTGAAGGAAAAATTGATAGAGACATCATAGAGGATTCTCATGTATTATAATTACTTAGCAAATACTTAGCGAGCAGTGTTATGAACTCTGATATTTAGAGTCAAAAGGGACATCTGTCTTAACTGAACTCTGTTGCAAACTGACCTTAACCTAACTAATTCTGTTACTAGAAACAGAACCAGGTTACGATTAGCGGCATCTGATTATGATAGGGACTTGAATATTAGGGGGTGCCCAAGTCTCACATTGAGTAGCATGGGATGCTTGATGGAGTATTTAAGTGCTTGGTTTTACCCCCTTAACAACTAGCTTTTAAAGGAGGGTTCCCCAAGTGCTTGGGTGCTGATCAATTGGTATTAAAGTCTATGAAGCACCAACACATCTTTAGAATGTTGTGTCGGTGTGCTCGACACGTTTCGGACACGATACTTGTCAGCCACGTGTTCGTCACTTATCTAATGTGTCACAAATAAAGTTTTTATTTTTTGTTTGGACACCTTTATGATACAACTTTAACACTTTTTCTACATGACTTGGACACGAGACAAGAGAGTAAATCGATTCATACTTTTAGCTAAACACTTATCTAATACTCCTATAAAATAAAGATACAAAGTCAACTTATTTATAAATATTGCAAGGCTCATAACATTTTTGTTATATGTTGTGAGTCTCATTTTTATATGAATTACTCATTTAACTTTTAAGAGATATGGTTCGTCTTCTAAAGGTCATTATCATATGAAAATTATAAAGCTTATATATATGCCATGTCCTCGTGTCCTACTTTATAGACATTAGTCGTGTCCGGTGTCCATGTTGGAGTTAGTAGCTTCATAGATTAGAGTTGATTGTCGATAACTCAAAAAGGGCTTTCTACGGAGGGGTTGACCATAAAGGTTAGGTGAAGCATTGTTGAGTGTCAACAAGATGTCGTCTCTTTGGGGTGAGGCTATGATAGGGACTTGGGTATTATGGGGTTCTTAAGTCCCACATCAAATAGTATGGGATGCTTGATAAATTATTTAAGTGCTTGGTTCTCCCCCTTTAACAACTAGCTTTTAAGGGACAATCACTCAATGCTCTGATACTCAATTAATTAAGTGCTTGGTTCTCCCCCTTTGAGATTCTGCACCTCCCAAAGTCCAAAGGCCCTAATTTTCCCACTTATGACAAGATGAAATCTCTTTCAATCCCTCTTCATATTTACATACAACCACTGTTCGACTAACTTTAAGCCACCTTCAATGGGTCTAATCAGTTGTAGGCCCTTTAACACAATCCTTATTATTTCTTAGACTAACAAACATAACTAACTATTGACGGGTTACCTAAAAATACTCCTCCCTAAATATTCACCTTGTCCTCAAGGTGAATTGGTGGTTGCAAACAAGATTCTATCTTGGTTCCACCTTACAATCTTTAACAACCGTGGTTTAACAATTTCAATCTTGTGCATGTTTGCATTGGATGAATAGAGCAAGATGAAGTAAATCGAGAAATTTGGACTGGAAGAGGGGATGGAGTGATAGGAGAGGATAAATATGAGGAAGCTTTAGTAGAAGAGGGGGTGGCAGGAGAGGAAATAGGAGGTGGTGTTTAAAGGGGGAGTGAAATGAGAGGAGGGAGGAAGTTGAAATACAAGCCCCCAAAGGAGGTGGCAACAACAAACCTAACTTTTGTGGAATAATGAAAGCGAAATTCATTTAAAAACATATCCATGGAAATATAAAGTCTGCCATCAGGGCACTAAGGTGGTGAATATGTATATTCTTTATGGGAAGATGGTTAGCCAAGGAAAGTACATCTGGTACATAGTAGTCAATCTTGGATAGCGGAGCGGCCGACCCCAAAAGTGGGATAGCGGGATTGCGGATAGTGGCATGACTGCTACTCAAGTATTATATTTATATTTATTAAGTAATTAATAATATATAAATAAAAGCTAAAAAAAAGAAAAAATAACTCTAAATTCATGCATTAATAATAAAAGTTCATAATTTTCAAATAAAGCATAATATAAAATGTCTAGAAAACAAAATGCCAAAGCTCTAAGTAACTAAAAAAGTAAATATTGAAGTTCAATCTTCTTCCTCATCAAAATTAAAGTCTTCCTCTTTTTCAAATTCATCACTTCCACTATTGGAATTATATTCTTCTTCTACTTCATGATCATCATCATCTAAATCTTTTTCTATTACTTCCATCACTTTTTTTCCTTTTTCTTTCCTAGATGTAGATGCAATTATTGTTGCCTTGTTCACTTGTGTTTGTCTCCTAGTATATTGCAAAGGTTCACTAGCCCAAGTTGCCTCGGCAACATCTGTCGAAGTCAAAACATCATCAAAAACCAACCCATCTTCAATATCACCATCATCATCTAGATCTCCTCCCAACATCCATTCATTGTTATCATCAACATCATTTAAAACAATAGGGTCAATTACATCCCAACACTTGAAGTGTTCTTGAAGAGCTTGATTATACTTAATAAAAACCAAGTCTTGAAGCTTTTGGTGCTCAGGTTTACTTCTCTAATTTAAGTGAATCTATAATAATTTAAAAACATGAATGTTAGTTAAGTTTCCATTTTTAATGGTAAACTCAAATTTAAATTGTTCATTTCAATTGCATATAAATACATTAAGTCATTAACTTACATGCTCAAAGGTGCTCCAATTACCCTTGCAACCAGATGAGCTACAAGTCAAGCTTAGTACCTTAATGGCAAGATTTTGCAACTGTGGTGTATGTCCTCCATACTTCTTCCACCACTCAGCTGTAATGCATGTCATGTACAATGCATTAATAATTTAATAAATATTGAAATAAACTTAAGAACTTGCTCACTTACTAGGAGTCTTCTAACCCTTGCCCTTACTACTACAGGAATGTCAAACTTGCCTCTCGCCCTTTTATGTATTAGTAATTGAGTGTGAATGTTGTCTACAATGTCATCATTTTCACTAAGCCTATCAATACATTTGAAGAGGCCATCCACCACTTCATCATCATCATCAATTCTTGAATTTCTATAAAAAACTCAAGACTTAGATAATATCCCGCTACATCCAAAGGATGATGAAGTTGACAATCCCATCTTTTATCAATAATTGCAAATATATCCTTATATTTTTCTTCATTGTGATCGAAAGAGAGTTGAATTGTCTCTTTGGCTCTTTCCATAGCTTCATAAATGTAACCCATTGCTGTTTTTTTTTTCATTATCCACCAACCTCAACACATGTACAATAGGTCTCTTAAATCTAGCGATAGCTTGGATGTCATCTTCCTCTTCATCTTCTTCCATAGACTCCATGTATACTTCATTGTCATTTTTTTTCTTTCTATAAGCAACATTCATTTTTAATTTAAGATCCTCTGGTATTTTTCTACAAGCACCTATATCTCCTCTTATTCCAAGTTGATGTTTCTTTGCTCTTGTAATTCCTCCCCTAGAAGTTTTTAAGCAAAAATCACATGTCACACTTTTATTGTTTTTATCTTAAGTTGTTCCACTTCCAAAATATTTCAATGTTGTCATCGGTAGACTTAAACATTCCAATTGAAGAACCCATTGATGGTGTGGGACTATGATTGGGACCAGTTCCAGTAGTGTTTGTTTGAGCCATGATTATGTTGATCCCTAGTGCCCAAATAAAAAAATGAACAGAAAAAAGAAGAAGAAATGGAACAGAAAAAAGATAAAGAAATGGGGAAAAAAAGTGAACAGAAAAAAAAGAAAGAAAAAGGAACAAAAGATAATCATGGAGGAGAAAAAAAGAATAGAAGAGAGAAAATAAAAGAAAGAATACCATGGAGGAGGGAGGAGAGAAGAAGAGAAGAGAGTCTGAGATGAAGACCTTGATGTAGGAACAAAAGAAGACAAGAATTAGAAACAAGTTGACTGAATTATCTCATGCAGACTGACCCAAACTGACAAGATTATTAAGTCATTGAAGAATTAGAAAAATATTTTTAACAGGGAGGGGCATGTGGGAGTATAGGTGAGAAAAGGTGGAGGAGCCAATAGAAGGAATAG